GGGGGGGGGATGGGGTTGTACCACGAGCAGAAACTTGAAGTGTCATATGTCCCCACTTTATCCATAACACATAACATAAAATTTAGGGTCACAAAATATTTATTAAAACTTCTTTTTATTTCTGTTATTATAAGTTATATAAAACAGTGAATATAGGATTGTTGCTATGTTTGATGACCAAACATGAATAACATTAACACAAGAAACCAATGTCCTTCAACAATTTATAGTGGACCTGGGATTTTCCAAATTGGGAGAATTAAGTTATACTTCATATATTGCTTGGACAAAGAGTAGTGCCAGGTAGCTAGAATGAGTGAATGCTCTAACAGCCTAAAAAAAGAACATGGGCTTCCTGTGTTGCTCTGTTGTCATTGATTCACCTATTCCTTTTCTATGTTAAATGGCTTATCTAAAGGAAGAGTGCCACTATCCACTATAACACAATCCTTTATGGGTTGACTGCCACTTAATGGTGTATTCTCGATTTTCCTAACAACACCCTGTAGAGAAAGACACAAAATAAAAACGATATATTTGTAGGTAATTATTGTAACCTTATACCTCAAATTTCAAAACCAATGACATACATAGTGTACAGTACATAGCAGATAAACAGCATCCTGGGTCTGGTTGCATAAAGCCTTCTTAAGATAAGAGCACCAGTAAGTATTGTTCCAAAACAATAGATATGATAGTACGCAAATTGTGTAGTTCCAGAAAATATCCACATCCCCCCACCACAGAGAGAATTTGTAAAAGGACCCCTCCCCCCTACATCCAGGAACTTCCAACTTCCTTCCATACAAACTCTGTAATTTTGTTCTTTCTCTGATCCCCCTCCCCTCCAGAATTTCCAAATTCCTCCGAGGTGGCATATGGATATTTTCTGGAACTACACATTGTACAAAAAAAAAAATTTTACAGGTGTTTTTATCTTAAGAAAAATTAATGCACCTGGGCATGAGATGGCTCATTCTTATGTTTCAAACTCAACATGTACATGTATCCAGACTGGAAGCTAAGAAGAGAGGGGCTACAGGGCCATTTCCATGATATTTTCAAAAATTGCAGCAACAAAATATAATGAGGAAAAGAACGAATTTTAGGAAGGAAAATATATGTAGTCCCTGTGCTAGAGAAATGGCCTCCAATGACTTTTAGAAATATAAAAATGAATTATTAATTGACATCAAAATGGCTATATGGATTTGTTTCAGTTCAGTCATCAGGAATTTAGGATTTTTTCTCTCGTAACTTTCTAACTTTTGTTGATCCCATTCTAATTTATAGTTTCTTTGGACGTASTGCTTGATGATAATATGAATTAATATTACAGTCAACTCTCGCCATGTGGACACCTCGCTATTACAGACAAGTGCAATAAAAAGAATGACAAAGAATGACCGTAAATAATTCTCGTTATTAGGGACGCTTGCAATTACAGACAACAAGTGACAGTCCCAAGGGTGTCTGCTGTAAAGAGGGTTGACTGTCGCCATGTGGACACCTCGCTATTACAGACAAGTGCAATAAAAATGACAAAGAATGACCGTAAATAATTCTCGTTATTAGGGACGCT